AATCCAAGTGTGACATCTGATATTGGCCAAATATCCCAACGCTGAGAACTGACGAAATCTCGGAAGAACCATCCTGGAAGTCGAGCCCAGGATCTCAGAGATCCTGGCTCAGTGCCAGCCTCCTGCACTTTCCCCAACATATTGCTAAAGCCTATGTGGTGGACCTTTGTCTTTGTGTGTGTGTAGATTAGCCGAGCTGGAGAGGCGAGGAGTAAGGGCGAATCTTGCACCACGTGGAGTGCGCTGTCCTCAGAGGGCACCGCCTCCATCTGCATCAAATTGCAGCAAGGTAAGAACAGTCATGTGGGATATCACAGAGGGCCATGGTGAATGGTGGAACATCACGATGGCCATGTTACATGGGGAAGTCACAGTGGCCAAGTTGCATGGGGGACTTAATGTTAACCATGTTGCATGAGGGACTGCATCATGGTGGCCATGTTGTATGGGGATCATTATCTGTGCTCTTGCCTTAGGACATCACGCTTTCAGATGCACTTCCGATATTAGGATTATTGTCCTTTCCCCACATATCCATTTAGCACAATTGGCTATGTACGGTGCAAAAGAAGTTCAACATATATACAGACATAACTGGTATTGGCCAAAACATCCCAATCCTGAAATATTTTGCCTACAAATTGCTTCAATTTTGGATCAAACAGCTGTTATTCTCATGTCTGCACAAATCCTGGCTCTCTTTGGCCCTCACTTAACCAGCTGTGAGAAGCGGGAACTTGCAGCCATGCAGCAAGTGTGGTACTTTGCACTCTACTACAAATCCGAGGGTGTCAACAATGATAGATATGACGACTACGGACAAAATTACACTCTGGTGAAGCTTGCCACAAAACACCGGCTGTGGGCGTGGTCACAGGGCCCATCGGTAGCAGGGCTTGTGGCCTCTTATTATTGCACCTGAAGTACCAACCAGGGCTATCACACACGCACACACCAACGCACTTCAGAATCCCCTGCAATACTGCACATGACGTGCTGAAAACGATTGGAGGTCAAGGCCAGGTGATCCAGTGCCTTTATCACAAAAGGAACACCCTTTGAGGCCGACGTTTGTGTTAAGTCCGTTTCCACGGGCGGCCGTGCAATGCAGTGGTGACACTCATGCCTCGCAGCGAGGAGGGGGGCCTGGGTTCGACTCCTGATTCAGGTGCCGTCTTGTATGGAGTTTGCATGTTCTACCTCTGTTCTGCATCAGTTCCTTCTGTGTTTTCATACTTTTTCCTCCCTAAAGCTTAAAATACACAAAGACAGTGTAAACTGGTATTGGGGCAAAACATCCCATTGCTGAAAGATTACCTGCACATTACGGTAGTTCCTCATTTAATGCTATAGATACATTACTGAAAAGTTCCGCGTTCAACAAAAAAGTATTGAGCGAAAATAATTTCCTCATAAATAATATAATAATAATGTTTGGCGAGATACAATGTACACATACAATTTAAGATGGCGAGACCAATAACTGAGGGTATGCCGTCACGTTACTTTATCATTGCGAGTAATGTATCATTGTAGCTCAAGAAAGTAGTTCGTTGTCGGCTCCTCAAAAATCGCGTTATAACGGGCAGGTTCCGCGCTTTAACAGGCGTGTTCCACATTATAACAAGTGCGTTTCGTTTTAAAACGAGAAGCGTTCTGTGTTGCAATGGGCGCGTTCGTGTTATTGCGGGCACATTCCGCGTTGTGCGAAAAGTGTGTCCTAATGGAAGAGCCATGTTAAAGCGAAAACAAATGTTAACATGCAATTGCATTTAGATTTCTCAAATGACCAATCCGATTTGAATATCTTCAAATCCTATTGGGCGCCCTACGTCGGCTCCTGCTTCTTCTGTGGTAGCTCCTCACCAATGAGAGTGAAGTGTACTACTGGAACTCACGGTGCTATTAGACCTGGTGAAATGATATTTAATTATTTCATTATGAACATGATTTATCTCTGGATATTCCTGAAACATGTGTAGGCTCCTCACTTTTTGCGATTTCCTTTGTGCAGCTCCAAGCAGGAAACATTCCCAAGATGGAGCTTGTTGTATCTAGGCCCCTTTTCCATCTTAATGTTAACAAGTAATTTTCCGATACATATAGATACATGTTTCTATTGTTTTTTTTTTATAATAATGAATAAAAACACCAAACCAGGCCTCCGCATGGCATGTGGAGGTTATCTTTACCATGACCCACTAACACGATTTTGACATTAAGAGCCCTCCCAGGGTCAGAGGGAGCAGATAGAGAGCAGAGCACAGCGAATTGCCAGGGGCTGACGTAAACACACCAAGCCAGGGTCACTGGGAGTTTGCGTTAGCCTAGATATAGTTCAGTCAAAAAGCTGATTGGTTCTACATTACTATTAAAGTAACTTAAAATCGGAATTCAACGACAGGGTAGGCTAAAGTTATTGATTTTCACACCAACTTCAATTGAACCCTGCCAATAGCTACATCAATGTAACCATCAACCGTCTATTGGTTTAACATTAAATCTATTGTCATATTTTAATAATTTTTATACGACTGGACCCAAAGCCTATAACAATCAGGTTTTCCGAAGTCAACATGCATGTTCTAACCCAGACATGAGCGAATAATGAGCAGAGTGGATATAAGGTTGGAGAAGAAAGGAAAATAAGCGCAGCAAACTGCAAATGTAGGCAAAAAGCCAGGAACAACCATCCAACCTAACAACAGCAAGCCGGGGCTAGACAGGCCATCGAATTAGATAAATCCCGGGGTCAGAGGTCACAGACCAAGGGCTGAGAGGCAGACGAAAACCAGAACTGACTTCAGGGTTAACCCGCCCTCACCTACACGGAGTGACGGAAATTAATGAGGCCTTGAATTGGCGGCGTCAGCGAAAACAGCGGTCACCACACGCTAGAGAGAGTGAGGGCCAAAGAGTGTAGAGAGACTGAAAAGAGAATAAGGGCGGACCTTAGAGTGTCAACGCATTTCAGCGAAAATAACAGGCTAATAAAAATCAGTGCATTATTTCCTACTTAACATTCGTATTGGCACCATTCACCGAGGCTTACACAAAACATGAACTGCATAATGACTTGGGCAGTGTTAAACCCAAGGTGGGAAAGAAAGGGAAATCCCGGCCGTCTTTGTATCCCTGCAGCGCGGGGTAGGAGTGTGTATACGCTCGGGGAAACACGAGTCAAACACCACAACGGGAAGCTAACCCAGACCTTGGATTAATACAGAATCATAACTGTGGAACTCTGATGAAATGAAATGTTAACTTAAAACGTTTTAACCATTTCTTTGTGCGTCGGTGAAAGTCGGAGGGAATATCGCCCCTCCCTCCAGGTTGTGCACCCAGACAGAGAGGCGCCTTCGAGACAATTTATAACATTTGATTGTTTTACTTGTGGGTTTTATGGTAGGAGTATGACAACGGAATATACCGTGGGTGATGCACAAGGACACACACTGACACACGTACGGACACACACGGACACAGATACATACGGACAAATCCTGACACAGCAAAAATCGAAAGAAACCCCGCCTTGTGGGCAGGATCCGAGTGAAGGGATTTTTGGGCATAAAAAGAGGATCCTGAACATTGAAACCTCAATTCGACCGGGGGCTCGACTCAGGAGTGAGCTGCGACCAGCGGGTCGGCTCGACTCGTCCGCAGTTCATCGGAACTCAGCTGAGTTCGATCGGCTCACCGTAGCCGGCCATCAAGGGCTCGACTCATCGGAGCGGCTCCCCATCTCATCTGCAGGCGGGCAAGACCCGCTTGACAGCTCAACTCGCCCCTGCGTGGGTCAGCCTCTGCCGACGCGGAGGTCTCTGCTGCCGCCGGGGTGGTGAGGGTCGCTGTTTGGCGACGAGGTTGCGTGCACACCGTGCATCGCCAGCCGAGTGCGCACCCGGGTCAACACTCAACCACCGTGCACGCTGCGAGCGAGCTGTGGCGCCATCTACCGACCGCGTCCTGACCTGCAGCAGCGTATCGACGACATCCGAATCCGTTCAACACGGTGACCGCCGAATCGACTGATACGTATGACGCGCACCGCCCCCTCACCACACGACAAGCAGGCGTCTGTTTGACACAAGTTCGACCCCGAACACTGACTATTCAAACAATTCATGTCACTCAAACATACACGGGTCCTTAAACCAGAAGCCAACACTCAAGTCTATCGGTCATCAGTGGCCGTGAAGGCGTCACAACGAGACCGAGTGTACATACATATGTCGTTATAAGCGTATCCATAGTTGTCCTCTTACCTATTTAGTGGGCTGTACTCTTAATCGCATAAATATTCAACAGATCCATCAATACGAATTTACTTTTGACACCTTCTCCCGTAGAGCCACGCTCTTGTGGGGAAGGGTGTGTCCCACCAGATCCTCATCAGGCGATCTGGTCCACAATTAATTAAAACTTGGTATCAGGTGAGGTCCTCAGGAGAAAGGAGCACCCCATCGCATGCCCTTACTCCAAGCCATTATGTAGTCAGATAATCTGCCGATGTATCTGTTGAGATTTGTGCCTTTAAGAATAATAACTGTTTTATTGTTTTTCTTATCGTCGTATAATCTTTAAAGTACCTTTCGTTCGTAATCGCCGCACGTACTCGCGTACTCTACAGAATAATCACCTGTTCTGAGACCCAGTGTGCTAACAACGTGATAAGGGTTGCATATGATCGATGATCAATAACGAGTGCGATACTGCGGGAATAATTCAAGTATAATCATTCATTATAAGTTACGGTTTTGGTTTAGATAGCATTTGCATGTTCTAATAACTCTCTCCTTCTCTAACAACCATCGCTTTATGCGGGGTCCATGTGTTATCAAAGTGAAATCGTACAGTCGTTGATGATACTGTCTTGATACCGTGTGGATACCGTGTTGAAGTTCCGAGATTGAGAGTTCACATACATATTATAGTTAAGGTTTAATTAGAAAATAAATTGATTAATACAGAAGTGGTCGTGTGATTCTTTCCTGAAATTTTTGCATAAGATCTGTATCCTGCGACGAGATATGAACTCGGGAACCTAAACTATAAACACACCAATCCACACTCATTAAACTTTGAAGCGAATGATATGAACTTGGGACCTAAAAAATGAACACTCGGGGAGTGTTAACGCGAGAATCATTGTATTATGCTGATCAATAATACGAAGTTAGACAACGAGGCCGAATTGACACTAGCGTAACTGCACACGATTGATTGCGTTATCCTGATTGATAACCCCAACTCGTCAACGAGGCGGGGCCTGATTATTATAAAGGCTATCATTAACACAACCACACCCACTCGTATAAATTAATACGGTTACCTCTCTAATTAGCATAGTTACACGCATAATTACACGTATTAACATAATTTTGGATTAATTATGCAAATTTCGAATTTCATTTAATTTTAATTATTTTCATCAATTTTCACACACCCACATATACAACAAATTGGGGGCTCGTGTCCGGGATCTCTCGCAGACAGTTTATGCTTAAATTAAGGAACGAATCACTGTTGTATTAATCAAGGTATTGTGAACTAACATTGCCCTGTGACTGTAAACGGTGTAAAACAAACAAAAAAACGCACTCTGAAGGAAAATACCAGAGTAGCAGTGGATAACAAAGACAGTGGGGGTAAGATTATTTGCTCGAGTTTAACCAACACATCCTGTGATACGAATGTTTTTATATGTACTCTGAAGTGGAATTCCAGAGTAACTCACGCCACACATAAGAGACTAGAGTTAAGATACACTCTTAGGTCTATTAACTACACTACGTAATAGAGATGGCACATGACCCGCAACGTTCTGAGGGTGACATCCCAACGCATAACACTGATACAGAATGGACCTCCGAGAAGGAGATAGAATCTATGGAAAAACAATATCGTGAATTTGTGTTAAAACGTACTGGACGGACTGCTAGACAGCAGACAGAGCAGAGAGACGTATGGGAGGGGAGACATAGAAGATGTTAAGGCACATAGGAGGAAACTACTTAAGGATGTGATGAATTGCGATTTAAAGCTTTCGTGACTGCAATGATTCATCTTCTTTGGTTCTTTCGGTAAAGTCACGTAGAATGAGAATAAAATAATAAATTGATAAAATAAAATAACACAATAATATTCTCACGACGTTTCGGCCACAACACAAGCGGCCTTCATCAGGTGAAGGGGGCGAGACTGTCTGGTAGGACAGCGCTGGAGTGAGAGAGCCACGTTCAGATCACGGCTTTTAAGCTGTGTGAGAGGAACAAAGAGCCTTGACAAAGGAATTAGCATAAAATTTAGCATTGAAATCGCTGAATGATTAGCTTGTGACTGGTCACAGAAATAGCTATGTTAAAAGTTAAAGCATACACATCCGCAGAGGCACCCATTGTTAAAAGGAATTAGCATAGAATTTAGCATTGAAATAGCTAAGTTAAGGCATACACATCCGCAGAGGCACCCCTTGACAATGGAATTAGCATAGAATTTAGCATTGAAATAGCTGAGTGATTCGCTTGTAACTGCTACAGAAATAGCTACGTTGAAGTCAGAGCATACACATTCACCGAGGCACTTAGTACAAATCAAACAGGAGAATTTAGCATTGAAATAACTAGGCGAATTTAGCATTGAAATAACTGAGTGATTTGCTAGTGACTGGTCACAGAAATGACTACACATCTGAGCTATTCACAGTACTATATAGTGAACCAATAAAAACTAAAATATAAATTACCTTCATGTTATCAATAAACTCTATATTCTCCAATCAGCTAAGCTACCAACAATAAGTCGTTATATATCACAATGCTATATGGCGAAAAAATTGGGTGGATTCTTACCCTCAAATTTCCGCACCACGGATAGCTACGGGCCCCGTTCAGACGGACGAGTTCGTCCATGGTCGGAACAGAGGAGGGGGAGAGAGACAGCTGCGAGGCCCTAGTATACTCCATGTTGTAAACCATACCATTAACCGTGGTGTGAGAGGTATTAAGAGGCAATGCTGGCGAAAGAGCTGCGGTCTGAAGGTCATCGTAAAAATACAATTAATTAAGAACAGAAATGATTTAACACATCTTTCCAGTGGTTACTAAGCCTGAATCCATCTTCTCGGTTGAAATTGTCTCTGTGCTTGTATATGTGAATGGCCTCATGAACGAATCTCTCATGGTAGCCGGTTGGTTTGCAAAGAACCTCCGTCTTGGAGAAGTCAATGTCATGTGAGCCCACTGAATTGTAACAGTGATCTGCCACGGCAGAGGAGTTCGTCCTACCCTGTTTCAAGTCTGCTTTATGTTCGCGGATGCGGTCCGAGATATGTCTTTTGGTTTCTCCAATGTAGCTACTACCACAGAGGCACTTTAGTTTGTAAACGCCCGGGTACTGTATGTCTGGAAGAGCATCTTTTACAGATGGAACTAAATCACGGATTTTGTGTACTGTGTTGAATCGGACCTGGATCTTGTGTTTATTCAGGATTTTGGAGATCTTTTTTAGTGACCCCTGCAATGTAGGGTAAGGTGATGGTTTTGAGTGGCTCCACAAGAGGATCCTTCTTCATGACTGGAGTGATGGCTTTGCGGATTGTGTAGTCGGAGTAGCCATTAGCCCTGAGAGCCTGGTGTACGTGCTTGAGTTCACAGGTAATGTGTTCCTGGTCGGAAATGCATTGGGCTCTATGGTATAGAGTCTTGATGAGGGAGTTCTTCTGGGATGGATGGTGGTGGGAATCCGGTTTCAAGTAAGCATCTGTATGGGTAGCTTTCCTGTAGACAGAGTGGCTCATTGAACCATCATGTCTCCTTTTAATTAAGACATCCAAAAAGGGTAGTTTGCCATCTTTTTCGACCTCCATGGTAAATCTGATGGCTGGGTGTATGGAATTGATGTGGTCGCGGAATTGGTCTAGAGCAGGCTGGCCATGTGGCCAGATGACAAAGGTGTCATCAACGTACCTCTTCCATAAGGTCGGGCGTAGAGTGGCAGTCTGGATGGCGTCAGTTTCAAATTTTTCCATGAATACGTTGGCTACAACCGGAGATAGGGGGGAGCCCATTGGGGTGCCCTCAGTTTGTTTGTAGAAAGTTCCATTCCAGGTGAAGTATGTGTTGGTTAAGCAATGTCTCACCAGGGGGGTACATCAGTATGCAGTCCTTGATGAACCAGGTCTTCAATGATAGCGATGGTGTCAGGTACCGGGACTTTGGTGAACAAGGACACCACATCAAAACTGACAAGCAGGTCGTTTGGGGACAGGGAAATGTCTTTGATTGTCGATACCAGGTGAGTAGAATTTAGTACCGCAGAGGTGGTTTTTTCCAGTGAAAGGTCGCAGTATATCAGCCAGAAAACGTGCCAGTTTGTAGGTGGGGGAGCTGATAGTAGAGACGATGGGACGAAGGGGTGTATCTTCTTTGTGTATCTTTGGAAGTCCATATAATCTTGGTGGTCTGGCAGCAGAGGGTTTCAACGAGAACTGTTTGATCTCATCAATTAATGCTGTTGAATCAGAGATAATTTTGTTCGTTTTGGTGACCAGGCTGTTGGTGGGATCTCTTTTTATTTTTGTATAGCTGCCATCGTTGAGTAGTTCTTGAATTTTGTTGTTATATTCTGTTTTGTCCATGATGACAGTGGCATTGCCTTTGTCGGCTGAGAGAACGACAATATCATCCCTCTTTTTTAATTGAGATAATTCAAAACGTTCGTCTTTGCTGATGTTGCTGGGTGGCAACTTAGCGTTTTTGAGGGTTGCAGCGATTTCAGATCTTGCTACGTCTGCAGAGATGTGACTCAAGCCCTTGAGTGCAACGTCGACATGGGCAATGATATCATTAACCGGTAAGTGTCTCGGTGTGGGTGCCTCTGCGGATGTGTATGCTTTAACTTTTAACATAGCTATTTCTGTGACCAGTCACAAGCTAATCATTCAGCCATTTCAATGCTAAATTTTATGCTAATTCCTTTGTCAAGGCTCTTTGTTCCTCTCACACAGCTTAAAAACCGTGATCTGAACGTGGCTCTCTCACTCCAGCGCTGTCCTACCAGACAGTCTCGCCCCCTTCACCTGATGAAGGCCGCTTGTGTTGTGGCCGAAACGTCGTGAGAATATTATTGTGTTATTTTATTTTATCAATTTATTATTTTATTCTCATTCTACGTGACTTTACCGAAAGAACCAAAGAAGATGTGATGAAATGTAGCAAAGCCAAACGTGACGTAAAAATTGCAGAAATAGCAAGGTTAGACTCGTATCTCCTCACACAGACAGACAGAGAAAGATTATGGACTGGGGAAAAATTTGACAGGGAAAGGAAGGAGAAACTGTCCCTAATAGAGGAGGTAGAGCGTCTGCACGCCCTCGTGAGAGAAAAAGAGTCGGCGCTGAATGCACCAGCGGGACCCCCAGACGTCGGTACACAGAACACATACGGGAGTAACAGTTTACCACACTCCGAGCCATGCGGACGTAGCCAAGGGCCAGATCCCACAAAAAGTATGGCTACCACGCAAAGCGATTTTGATAAAGGAACCCCCTCGCAAATCGAGGAGAGGGAAGGGGAAATACGGACACAAACAGGAAAACAGGAGGCCGACCACCCCGAGGTTAAAGAGAGCCAAAATATTAACCCTAAGTCACCAGGGTATTCTGTACTGATAGAGCGACAAAGGGCGGAGCTGGGGCGAAACGAGCAACATGACATAGACAACTCACCAGAAAGACGCACGCTACGCAAGTACGATCGACATGATGCAGATGACAGAGACGGCTCACTTGGTAGACTCCTTCCACGCAAGCACGACCGACGTGGAATCTATGGCAGGGACTACTCTCCGGAGAAGCACTCCTCACGCAAACATGACCAACCAGTTCCAGATAGCTCAGTCAGCTCACCAGAAAGACGCACGCTACGCAAGTGCGACCGACATGGTGCAGATGACAGAGACAGCTCACTTGGAAAACGCACCTCACGTAAGCATGACCGACGTGGAACCTACAGCAGGGATCACTCTCCAGGAAGGCGTACATCACGCCAACATGACCAATCAGATGCAGATAGCTCAGACAGCTCACCAGAGAGACGCACCTCACGCAAACGTGACCAACACAACACGGGTACAAGAGACAGCTCACCAGAGAAACGCACGACACTTAAAAATTCCCAACGCAAAACCACCCGCACCACAGATGACAAACACAGGAATCCCGACAACCATGTAGCACAAGACAAACATAAACACAGCACATCACCTAGCAGCCACCACACACGTAGTAGACGGCGTGAAGGTCAAGGACAAAAACACTCGCCACATAGACACAGCTCAAGGAGATCACGCACACCAACCCACAGGCATGGATCACACGACCCACATAAGAGAAATAAGGGACACAAGCCACGGGACCGATACGAATCCTCGGACAGAGGGAGATCACGACACAGACACGGGAAACATGACAGTAGTGATAGCGAAGGCAGGGACAGCTCGAGTGACAATTCCTCTGAATCTGACGCCTCTGACGATGATCAACTGTCCGAATACTCATTCAGTAGTAAGACTCTGAAATTGATGGACAAAGCGCTCGTCAGAATTCCCTATTTCGATCCACACAACAAAACCAGGGATATACACAACCACATAGTTACAGTAGGACAGGAGGCTAAGATCCGGGGTCTGGGTAAATCAGTAGAAAAAGCATGTTTATTGTCAAGGAGCTTACATGAAACTGCCAGACCATGGGTAACCTCCCTGCCAAATAGGGTCAAGAGCGATTTTAAGCAATTAAGCCGAGCAGTAGTTAAGAGATTTGGGGAATACTCCACACTATCTGAAGGATTGAACGCGGCAAAATTGATGACTCAGCGTGCGGACGAAGACCCACGAGATTATCTCCTACGCCTCAAGAGAGCATATTCCGCAGGTGACGTGGACAACGCCCAGGAAGAAGGGAAGATATTAAAAGTTATGTTCTTCCAATCACTAAGACCTGAAATAGTGAGGATAGTAGGAATGATGCTAGACCCCGAGACTGCCTCCTTGCGCCAGATTGAAAGCAAGGCCCACACGGCCTGGGTGAACGGACGAAGAACCACTAGCACAGCTAAAACACACATCATCACCAAAGACAAAGAACGTCTCAATCTGGAGGGAAACGAGTCTCCAGGGAATAATAACAGCACCACCCGGAACGAACATGAAACACCCCAGGAGAGGGCGCCAAATCCACTAGGATCAACACTCAGCAGCAACACGCCGGACAACGGGTCACGGGGGACCTGGCACCCACGGCCGCCACAGCCCTGGAATATAGAAGAGGGCGGATCTTGGAACTATGGAGGATGGAGAGCGAATGACGGATCATACCTACCCCGCGGAGGCCGACGCCCACCGAACCAATCCCCATATCGTCTCCCACTGCCGCCTCCACTAGCAGTGGGGCATAGACCACAGGCAGCTAACAGAAGTCGATACGCTCACTATATTCGGATGGAAATAGAACATCAAGAGAGTATGAAGACTCCCATGCGAACAGCAAAGGCAAGAATACCAACAGAACACACACAGGAAGAGGACGCACCCAACGCAAAGATAGCCCAAGTGAACATAAGAAACTCAAGAAACCCCAAAGCAGTCACCGAGGTGATACCAGAGGGTAAAGGGTACCATCTGGGGGAATTAATTCCCGTAGGACCGGTCGGACGAGTCCACGTGGAAGTAATACTGCAAGACACCCTGACCAGCCAGGGCCTTTGTGATACGGGAGCAGAAATATCCATGATATCCAGAGACCTATTTTATGAACTCCAGACTGCCCTCCAGAGGAAAAATGAAACGTTACAGATGATGCCAAGTAGGCTCACCTACTCAGGATGCGAAGGGACCCACATACGGCCATTGGGCAAGGTCATGATGAAGCTCACGTTCAACAAAGTCAACATGAGCCATCCACTATATGTCGTGCAGAACCCAGGAAAAGAGCTGATCATTGGGATCAAACTACTGAATCGCCTTAAACCCGTCATGAACCTTGAATCCCGACAAATATGGGCACAGTCAATGCCGGAGCAGCATAGGGATCCAGAAGATGAAGAAGTTGAAGACTTTACAGAAATTCAAATGATAACTGAAGAACTCAACGACCTGTCACGGACAATCAAGAACGAAACCAAGCGTCCAGCAGAAATATGGACCACTCAACTACTGACCAACAGACTGAGAAAGGACGTTGAGGGAATCAACCTACGACCAGTAGTTCCAAAGGACTGTCCCTTCGCGGAGTATATACCGCCCACTAGTGGTCAGACAGGTGAACAGGGGACGGATGAAGAAGAACCCAAGGCCGGAAGCATATTCCCCTCGGGTGAGGCAAAGGTCATTCAGCCAATAATAGTACAAAGCAAACATGAAACGGAGCAACCAGGAATCACAAACGCCTTAGACCCAAACCAAGGCAAAAGAGTCCCCACAATAGAAGAACAAATGGAACAACAAATTGAAGCGGCAGACGCCCTTGAGAATGACACTCAACGAAACGAGCTCCGACAACTGCTCCAGAGATACCACTTCCTGTTCTCAGAAGACTCCTATGACTGCGGCAAAACCGACCATCATGTGGTATCCATTCCCACCCTGGAGGGAGCACCAGCGGTATACGTGAAACAATACAAGATTCCACTGGCCGCTTACGAATCGATCCAAGAAACCTTGGAAAACCTACTCAAGAAGAATATAATTCGGAAATGCAACTCAACCTACAACTCACCAATCTGGCCTGTGCTAAAACCCACGGGCAAGTGGCGACTCACCATCGACTATAGGCAACTCAACAAAACGGTTCCCCTATCTCGATGGCCAATGGCAGAAATCGATCAGAATCTCAACCAAATAAAAGGCGCAAAAATACTCACCACAATGGACCTATCAAATGGCTTCTGGACCATGCCCGTAAAAGAAGCAGATCAATACAAGTTGGCATTTACATTCAACGGGATACAGTACACGTGGAACCGATGCCCATTTGGATACTCGAACTCACCTGCAGACTTTAACATATTCCTACACAAGGCAATGGGCGACGCAAAAGAACGAGGTACCATCGTCTATGTCGATGACATACTGGTCAAGGATTCCTCCTGGGAAGAACACCTCAAGAGCCTCCAGCATACCCTCGAGCAGTTAAAGGAAGCAGGCGCAAAGATATCAATACAAAAGGGACAGTGGGCACGCAAGAGGGTGGACTACCTTGGGCTCCAGATCGGCACTGAGGGAATGTTACCCCAAACGAAAAGACTTGAAGCCCTCCTCGCACTCAAGTCACCCACCACAGTCACGACACTTCGGAGCTTCTTAGGGATTTGCAACTACCTTCGACAGTTCGTGGACGACTATGCCGGGATCGCCCGACCCTTAGTTAAACTACTACAAAAAGACGAACCATGGGAATGGGGACAAGAACAGGAGGCCGCAGTGGAATAATTAAAACGACAGATCACAGGGGCATCCTGCCTAGCATACCCAGAGAAAGGAAAAGAATATTACCTAGAGACAGCATACTCGGATCATAGTATCAGCTCAGTACTGTGCCAGATACAGGAAGCAGAGAAACGAGTTGTTATTGCCTACGCCAGCAAAGCCCTCCGAGGAGTGGAGACGAAGTTCTCTGAGTGTGAGAAGGCAATATTCGGAAACATCTGGGCTCTACAACATTTTCGGAACTTGTTGAACGGAGAGAAGATCATCCTAGAAACGAATCATGAATCCTTGGCGTACCTCAACAGTAAGAAGATTCGAGAGGGCCGCGTAACCAGCAGCCGAATAGCCAATTGGGCACTGACACTCCAAGGCCTACCAATCACAGTGAAATACGCAAAAAACAAGAAAAGTCCAATGGCCCAAGGTCTTGCCGATTTACATGATTGTACCTTAGACGGCGTAGAAGCAGAGGCCGAGAAGATACCTCCGGAGGACAACAGGTACTTGCCCTTCAGGAAGGAGACATGTGCCGACCTACCAATGGTATACATCGATGGATGCTCCAAGGTGGAGGGAAGCAAACTCCACGCCGGATCAGGAGTCGTTTGGGAAACTGGCCCACTCACAGGGATTCAAGAGGGGTTTCAGCTGGGACCAAAGTCAAACCAGTATGCAGAGTTGGTCGGAGTACACATCGCCGTCCAAATGGCATCCGATAACCAAATACAGACCATGGTGGTGTGCACTGATTCCAACTACGTACAGCACAGCTTCCTGCACCACCTGCCCGTATGGAAAAAAACGATATGAAGAACCATAGGAATAAACCAGTTCACCATCGAGAACTATTCGAGGCCATAGATAAGATGGTTCAAAAAAACGATATGAAGATATTTTGGAAGAAGGTCAAAGGTCACTCCAAGATACCTGGTCAAGAGAAAACTGGGAATGACCAGGCGGATGCCCGAGCAAAGGTAGGAAGCCTGGCAGGCACACCGTGGAAGCTAGAGGATCAAACCGAAAGAGACGGACAACAAGAGTCGACGAGCCGAGACACCGTCGTGATAGGACTGGTCACAAGAAGTGGGAGGAACCCTGCAGAAGCTGGAACCAGGGCCCAATTGAACAGTGCACAGCCTTCCGAAGACCTAGTTAGAATGCAACAAGAGGACGAAACACTAAAGGCATTAGTTGATCACATCCAGGATCCAACAGGTAAACCAAACACTACCGACAATCTGAACGGTAACTAAGAGCTCCAGACCATGCATAACCAAATTAAACGGTTCTCAATGCAGAAAGGGCTACTGGTGTATACGAATGAAAAAGACGTTACGACTAGATGGATAGTGCCCTCACAATATCGAGAGATAATGCTACAACACGCCCACGACGAACCATGCAGCGGCCACCGATGCGAGATGAACACGGGACAGATGCTGCGGCAGGTGGCCTACTGGCCTAAAATGGGTGAGGACATACACAACCATGTGTCCAACTGCCTCGTGTGTTGTAAGTACCAGCCAACGACCTCACAGCATAGGGCACCCTTACAAAGAAGGGGAACAAACTATCCTTGGTCCAACCTACAAATCGACTGGATAGGTCCTGTCAATCGATCAACCAAAGGAAACAAGTACATGCTGACTGTGACCTGTGCATTCTCCAAATGGATAGAGTGTTTACCAGCACCCAACAACACCGCGGAGACAACAGCCATTCTACTGATCAACCAAATATTCAGTAGGTGGGGCCTACCGTCAACAATCGATTCAGACCAAGGAAGCCACTTCACAGCCGAAGTCATCACAGAAATGTGGAAGATGTTGGGAGTAAAAAGACAACTACATGTCACATACCATCCACAGTCCTCAGGACAGGTGGAAAGAGCCAACAGGACCATCGTGAGTCTCCTAAAGAAATATGTGTCCACCACAGGACGCGACTGGGATACAAAACTACCCCTGGTCTTGATGGCCATGCGAGCCACACCCAACCGAGCTACGGGCAGGACACCCTTCGAGATCATGACAGGGAGACTAATGACCCTCCCAGTGCACCTGCTGTATGTCCCAGCGGAGGACGAGACCCCGACGGCAATGACGCCAACTGAATACCTGTCGGGACTGAATAGTCACCTACAGAGCACATTCGCTATGGTCAGAGACCAGTTGCAAGAAGAGGCTCAGGGGAGCAAAGCATACTACGACCGAAAAGCCAGCCACACAGAATATCAGCTAGGAGACCAGGTGTTGTACCTCAATTACGAGAAGAGAAAGCAGAAGTGCAGGAAGTTCCTCCCTTCCTGGACAGGACCACATGAGATTGCTGACAAAATGTCCCCAGTCATATATCAGTTAAAAATCACAAAAACAGGGAGAGAGCAGCAGTACAAGTGGGTGCACATCAATCAAATCAAACCGTACCCTGTGCTGGTGGAGCAAGAGCAGGAATAAAGGAAAAAGGGGGGGGGGGACCAAAACTAAAAGGGGCATGTCACACTAAAATTATGTCCAAAATGTCTTCCAGGAAATGGCAGCCCTCCTGCTCACGCTCCTGCTGACTTGCTTTGCCCGGCTAGAGGGAAGCCAGGACCTGATCAAGCCAGGACCAGAATCCGGGGTGATGCTGAGAGACTCTTCCGGCTTCCTGGTGACCGAAACGAAAATAGTAACCCAACAAGTCTACGTTTCCTTGGAACCTGCCGTAGTAATAGAGAAACACTTCGGGAAGATACCACCCTCAACTACCAGAGCAACCCGAAACTGGTACTATGACTTCCTGAGATACAGTGAACAGAATGTCGGAACAATCCTGAAACTGTTACAAAGAACCATGATACTTCCCCCCACCACTGTCAACACAACACGTTCCAAGAGATCGATCTGTCTGGGAGGGGCCTTCGGAATAATATCCGGCTTTAGCTCTTTAATCACACTAGGGGTATCCATATCCAACGCCGTGAAGATTGGACACCTCACGCAAGGCGTCGAGAATCTACAGCTCGATATGCAGCAGATCCGTCAGCAAATCCGACACCATCAAAAGAATCTGATCGAAATAGGGTCCACTCTTAGAGACACCGTGGTTCTCGTGAACCTACATTCCGACCTGATTAACTTAACAATCCAAGAATTGGGTTTCGCAATCCAAGGTCTATACGAAGAAGAGAGTACTCGACAGCCTATCCAATGGTTGATCCAAGACTTGTTGCGTAGCACCAGCGGCAGCATTAGTGATCTTATTCAAGGACAAATTCCCTCGTATCTGGTAACTCCAACACTGATAAAAAATGTGCTACAAGCAGCATCCCCAGAAACAATCAGTCCAACCCAAGTACAAGTTGCCTTTAACATGGGCACAGCCACGCCCATACATGTGGACCCCCAAACCAGACAGTTGGCATTTTTGTTAAACTTACCACTGGTCAAACCCGAAAATGTATTTCGATTGCGGACTGTGTTGAACGTGGGTATATGGAATAACGACATTTACTCTAAGATGGAAACCCCCTTAGTGGTGGCCTATCAGGAAGAGGGCCCTCTTAAGTACCTAGTGCCTGACCTGAACATGTGTCAAATAATGAAAGAGGTTCATTGGCTCTGCCCCGGGGAACCATTCCTAATCAATACAGCCGAAATAATGTGCGGCCTGTCAACCCTAAGCTCCAGGGAGACTTGCAAGTTCAAGCTAAGTAAGCCCAAAGAAAAGACCGAAACAGTGGCCATGATAGCCGATGCCCAGTGGTTAATAAGTACACCTCTAGATACGGCAACTGTTGCCACCGGTCAACACTACGTAACCATGGAAGTTCCTATTCCAAGCCACGTCGCACTGGTCACAGTACCAAGAGGAACATTCGTATACATAGGGGACAAGGTATTATATAATTTAGATAAAAGCCTACATCAAGCTGAGGTAGAAATAGTAGACACATTTCGAAGCCACAAGTTTGAAATAAGCAGCACTCTGTCTAACCTGTTGAACAGTAAAGAATTCCATACGGTGAAATTAGCCATCAGCGAGTCAGGAATTAACATAACAGATCTTACTTGGGCGACCGAAGAGGCCGGATATCAGCGGAATCAACAGATTGGATTGGGAATCACAGGGGCGACAGGAATGATCATACTAGCCATGGCTATCGTAACCTTAGCATACCATATAGCCAAAATGAATGCCGAACTTAAAAGACTGATCGCCGGCACAAGCCACATACCATTTGAGCCCAGGAACAGGGGTAGGGTCAGGGCCTGACGATTCTATCCAAGGATACCATAGAAACTATATTCTTAACGATATCCCCTATAACATGTAGTCAATAGAATAATTTCTCCCTCCCTTGTGTTACCTTCCTTTTAGTATTTCTTGTATTATTTCAAATGTAATCATGCTAAGTTGGGACACGTACGTGCGCGTTGTAAGGAAAAATCAGCCAAAACTGGAGTAATATTGATGGTTCATGATGGAAAGGGGCATAGATTCTTTGTTTTAAAAATGACCCGTGGCCAATTGACCACCGATCATTTTTAAAAGGGCGGAATGTTGTATCTAGGCCCCTTTTCCATCTTAATGTTAACAGGTAATTTTCCGATACATATAGATACATGTTTCTATTGTTTTTTTTTATAATAATGAATAAAAACACCAAACCAGGCCTCCGCATGGCATGTGGAGGTTATCTTTACCATGACCCACTAACACGATTTTGACATTAAGAGCCCTCCCAGGGTCAGAGGGAGCAGATAGAGAGCAGAGCACAGCGAATTGCCAGGGGCTGACGTAAACACACCAAGCCAGGGTCACTGGGAGTTTGCGTTAGCCTAGATATAGTTCAGTCAAAAAGCTGATTGGTTCTACATTACTATTAAAGTAACTTAAAATCGGAATTCAACGACAGGGTAGGCTAAAGTTATTGATCTTCACACCAACTTCAATCGAACCCTGCCAATAGCTACATCAATGTAACCATCAACCGTCTATTGGTTTAACATTAAATCTATTTTCATATTTTAATAATTTTTATACGACTGGACCCAAAGCCTATAACAATCAGGTTTTCCGAAGTCAACATGCATGTTCTAACCCAGACATGAGCGAATAATGAGCAGAGTAGATATAAGGTTGGAGAAGAAAGGAAAATAAGTGCAGCAAACTGCAAACGTAGGCAAAAAGCCAGGAACAACCAACCAACCTAACAACAGCAAGCCGGGGCTAGACAGGCCATCGAATTAGATAAATCCCGGGGTCAGAGGTCACAGACCAAGGGCTGAGAGGCAGACGAAAACCAGAACTGACTTCAGGGTTAACCCGCCCTCACCTACACGGAGTGACGGAAATTAATGAGGCCTTGAATTGGCGGCGTCAGCGAAAACAGCGGTCACCACACGCTAGAGAGAGTGAGGGCCAAAGAGTGTAGAGAGACTGAAAAGAGAATAAGGGCGGGACCTTAGAGTGTCAACGCATTTCAGCGAAAATAACAGGCTAATAAAAATCAGTGCATTATTTCCTACTTAACATTCGTGTTGGCACCATTCACCGAGGCTTACACAAAACATGAACTGCATAATGACTTGGGCAGTGTTAAACCCAAGGTGGGAAAGAAAGGGAAATCCCGGCCGTCTTTGTATCCTTGCAGCGCGGGGTAGGAGTGTGTATACACTCGGGGAAACACGAGTCAAACACCACAACGGGAAGCTAACCCAGACCTTGGATTAATACAGAATCATAACTGTGGAACTCTGATGAAATGAAATGTTAACTTAAAACGTTTTAACCATTTCTTTGTGCGTCGGTGAAAGTCGGAGGGAATATCGCCCCTCCCTCCAGGTTGTGCACCCAGACAGAGAGGCGCCTTCGAGACAATTTATAACATTTGATTGTTTTACTTGTGGGTTTTATGGTAGGAGTATGACAACGGAATATACCGTGGGTGATGCACAAGGACACACACTGACACACGTACGGTCACACACGGACACAGATACATACGGACAAATCCTGACACAGCAAAAATCGAAAGAAACCCCGCCTTGTGTGCAGGATCCGAGTGAAGGGATTTTTGGGCATAAAAAGAGGATCCTGAACATTTAAACCTCAGTTCGACCAGGGGGGTCGACTCAGGAGCGAGCTGCGACCAGCGGGTCGGCTCGACTCGTCCGCAGTTCATCGGAACTCAGCTGAGTTCGATCGGCTCACCGGAGCCGGCCATCGGGGGCTCGACTCATCGGAGCGGCTCCCCATCTCATCTGCAGGCGGGCAAGACCCGCTTGACAGCTCAACTCGCCCCTGCGTGGGTCAGCCTCTGCCGACGCGGAGGCCTCTGCTGCCGCCGGGGTGGTGAGGCTCGCTGTTTGGCGACGATGTTGCGTGCACACCGTGCATCGCAAGCCGAGTGCGCACCCCGAGTCAACACTCAACCACCTTGCACGCTGCGAGCGAGCTGTGGCGCCATCTACCGACCGCGTCCTGACCTGCAGCAGCGTATCGACGACATCCGAATCCGTTCAACATGGTGACCGCCGAATCGACTGATACGTATGACGCGCACCGCCCCCTCACCACACGACAAGCAGGCGTCTGTTTGACACAAGTTCGACCCCGAACACTGACTATTCAAACAATTCATGTGACTCAAACATACACGGGTCCTTAAACCAGAAGCCAACACTCAAGTCTATCGGTCATCAGTGGCCGTGAAGGCGTCACAACGAGACCGAGTGTTCATACATATGTCGTTATAAGCGTATCCATAGTTGTCCTCTTTACTATTTAGTGGGCTGTACTCTTAATCGCATAAATATTCAACAGATCCATCAATACGAATTTACTTTTGACACCTTCTCCCGTAGAGCCACGCTCTTGTGGGGAAGGGTGTGTCCCACCAGATCCTCATCAGGCGATCTGGTCCACAATTAATTAAAACTTGGTATCAGGCGAGGTCCTCAGGAGAAAGGAGCACCCCATCGCATGCCCTTACTCCAAGCCATTATGTAGTCAAATAATCTGCCGATGTATCTGTTGAGATTTGTGCCTTTAAGAATAATAACTGTTTTATTGTTTTTCTTATCGTCGTATAATCTTTAAAGTACCTTTCGTTCGTAATCGCCGCACGTACTCGCGTACTCTACAGAATAATCACCTGTTCTGAGACCCAGTGTGCTAACAACGTGATAAGGGTTGCATATGATCGATGATCAATAACGAGTGCGATACTGCGGGAATAATTCAAGTATAATCATTCATTATAAGTTACGGTTTTGGTTTAGATAGCATTTGCATGTTCTAATAACTCTCTCCTTCTCTAACAACCATCGCTTTATGCGGGGTCCATGTGTTATCAAAGTGAAATCGTACAGCCGTTGATGATACTGTCTTGATACCGTGTGGATACCGTGTTGAAGTTCCGAGATTGAGAGTTCACATACATATTATAGTTAAGGTTTAATTAGAAAAT